GAGGACCAGACAGCCTCGTTGTGTGGCAAAACAGGTAGCGCCCTTGTGCCGGCGTGTAGCTCTGCAGTCACGTGAACCTCGAGTGCTGGCTGAGTTTTGTTCTCCTTGTCCCAAACAAAAAAAAAAAGGTAAAGCGGGGCTGAAAAGATTCAGAGAGAGGCCAGAGGTGAAAGGTGAGGAACGCTTTTCACCTAAAGAGGACTAAATAGCGTAGGACCCTTCAGCCTGGAAAAGATATGGTGTAATGGGGGGCAGCCTGGACAAAGAAGTAGTGACAAACTGCTTGCCAGGTCCTCCCGTTGAAGATCACGGGGCCAGTAATCGGAAACTAGCAGTAACTTGGTGCAAAATAGTCCGGGGCTCCTTGTGCAACAGGAACTGGAGCTGTGTAACTCCACAGCTGTGGTAAAGGATATTGTGGATGCCAAAACTTTGCGTGGCTTTAAGGGAAGGCCGGGCAAGTTCTTGGAAGATAAATTAGCTGAAGGTTACCAAAGTAGCAAAGCACATCAGGCTCAGAAAAATGTCCTGGGCTGAAACTAGTTGGAGGCTGGGACAAACGTGCTTGCTCTGTTACTTCTCTCTGCATGTTTCCTTATGGCTTCGGCTGGAGGTGGGTTTAGGTAGATCCAGCTAGCAGTGCAGCTATTTTTCCTTTCTGTATGTTAAAACATCTGTTACTGTAGAAGATGCCTCTGTAAGTGACCTTCTCTTTCCTTTGTAAAAAGGTGTGGTCGGAAAGACCTAGCTCTGCAACTACAGTCACGTGAAACCCGTATGTCTACGCAGAATCCCAGTGAAAGCCCTCTATGGGATTAAAATGGTGTGCCTAGGTGGACTCTGTTTACAAATTGTAGCCTAACAGTATTTGCCTACATAAAAGGAATGTTTAAGGTGGCTGCAGTGGATTGTTAGAAAGCAGTAGCAGTAGATTATTTTTATTTTGGTAGTTTATTTTCCAGTTACTTATATTTCAATACTATTCTGTCTGGACTTTCTGCTTTTCCATAAGGTAGACATGCTGGTTTTAAGAGCTGATAGGCGCAAGAGCTTACAGAACTAACTGTCTTTCTGTGTTCAGATGCAATAAGATGTAATAGGTGTGTGTGAACACATCAAAGCAACTGAAATAATTTGCTCTGTCCAGAACTTATGACAACCTTTATTATACAGTGACCATGTTTCCTGCTGGATTTTATCACTCCAGATTTTATTTGACATAGGCTATCTTCCCAGAATATCCTCTGATGGTAATTGAGACCATCAGTTAAGTAGTTTGTGTATTTGAGTCATTGGGTTCTCATATTACATTAGAAGTTTCTAAATTTTGTCATTAAGGCTCTTAGGTATTAATCTTTGCGTTCTAGTTGAAATTGACACACGTGTTAATTGCCACATCTAAAGACAATAATTATTTCAATTATTTTCTATAACTGCTCAGTACAATTCCATTAAAACATTACTATGTGATGTTCTGAAAATAAGGTAGTAATTTTCCCTTAACAGAAGAAGTGATAGTCAGACAGCAGGTGGTGCAGGAGATCAGATGGAGAAGAAAATGAAACTTTAGTGTAAAAAGTCAGAAAAATGTTCAGAAAGAACAAGAAGCAAAGAACAGCCACAAGTGTCTCAGTTTCTGATTTCAGTAGGACTAGGAGCAAGGTACAGTGAGTTCAGCGGCATGGCAAAATTGGGAATGAAACCATTTGCAGAGGTAAAGAACAGTATAAAAATATGTAGTGGACTCTGCTTTCCTGATTAGGTAATACTTATCTCTGTCCTTATCATGTAATTTTAAAACTCTGGTATGTTTTAAAGCAAAATGGACAGCTGCAGAAAGCAAAAATAGTGTCATGTAAAGTGGTATAGTTAAACCGGGAATATACATACATCTGCTTTTATTTAGCAATGCAAATGGCAAATAACGTATTTGGGATTTTAAGTATAAGGTGCAGAGTTAAAATGAGGCATGCAGTCAAAGTGAGCTTTAGCAGCCATCACTCAGAATTTAGCCTTTTGGTGATTCTGGGGTTGGCTGAGCGGAGTTTAAAAAGTCCTTCTGACAAACAAGTGTAAGGTGAGTAGCCATTCAGTGGAGCACCTTCAGCCACGCTTGGAGAGCTTTTCCTGAGTTGTGACACTTGTCCCATTTGCCCCATACTTTCATGTTCCACATGAGGTACCAAGCTATGTGAGAGTTTGAGCGTGTCTTATTTAAGACATTAGTTAAGGCATTTGTCAAATGGAAAAGGCGTTTCCTAGAGTGGGAGAAGGCCATTCAAATTTTTTTCACCGTAACAGCTGCTATTTGGCAAGATGACTGATCACTTAATAGTTACGTGAGAATGGTGGTTTTCATCCGGATTTGAACAGTGAGTATACTACAAATATGACATTAAGAGGTGGAAAATAGGACACAGAATAATCCCTGTTGCTGTCATCATTTTTCAATGTATTCCTTAGGGAAATTTACATGGAGGAAAAAATGACCCCAAAACCCAGTGTTCTCTGGTAGAGTGATAGAGGATTCACACTTCTGGGAAGATGTTGCCTCCCACAGACTGAATACAGATTTCAAGTGATTCTGTTTATTTTCAAACTGTTTCAGTGCTGCCTTCGTGAGATATTCCTTCTGGTCTGGAAAACATGATTATTCACAGCTCATGGTAGGCTGGTGTTATGTATTCTGCATAGATAGTTTACACTGGCCTTTACCATGTTAACCAATTTGAAACACTTTACCTCTGGAAAACATGATTATTCATGTAGGCTGGTGTTATGTATTTTGCATAGATAGTTTACACTGGCCATGTTAACCAATTTGAAACACTTTACACAGACAGAGGATGATAGTTTCTGTGTTACATCAAACGTTCTTTGTGAATGAACGTTATTTCCTCCTTGACTATGTCACGTTCGTATTTAAGAGCGCTTTTTCCTGTTGTACCAGCAGAGGGCACTGAGTTACCAGATTCTTCATATGGCTTTCAGAAGTCTATACTTCCCTTGTTTGAACAGAAAGAAGATAAGTGGACTTAGCAGTTGCTTCAGGGATTGCTTTGAGAAAGCAACTGCAAGTGTTTTGTACAGACAAAAGAAGACTTTCAGTATGCACGTTGAATATCTGTTGAGCAGCTCTCAGTATTTTCTCTGGTCTCGTTTTCTTCACTTCTTCCCACCTAAGCGATGAAGGCTACTTTGAGAATCTGCTGTGGTAGCCAGTCTAGAGCAGGATGATGCTTATTGTGGCAATATCATCCACCCAACAGGGTATGGGAAACCCTGTTAGGGATAAGGACTGCTAGTGATACCTGGCTAGTCCCAAAAAAGGCAGTTTTTTGGCCTTTTAACTTATCTTCTTCTTGGCCCCACGGGTTTTGACAAATGAATTGCAAATTATTATCTTCTCTTTAGTCACCTCAATTATTCTGAAAAAAATGATTCAGGAATAGAGGCTTCACTGTATACCTATATTGAGGCACAGCTTCTACCTTAAGGAATTTACACTACTGCATTCGCAGACATGAAACCTATTTTAGTAGTCTATGAAACAACATTATCTTAGCTCTTTTCTGTATATGGATTCTCTTTTTTTCTAGAGAAGACATCATTCTAATGCCTATATGCTCAACATAGTATCTAGTTGCCAAGTTAAATGCTTTTCCTGGCAGAACAGACACTGGGATCACAGAGTTGTTCTCCCAAGACGAGGTTCATCCTTTGTGCCGGGGGCGGATTTCAGTTCAATTGCATTGTTTGTTTGTGGTAGTGGAGGGCTATGTTTGTGTTCTCTGTTGGCTTGAAAGGAAAAAAAAAAATTTTTTTCCTGCTTACGAAGTGACCATTTGTCCAAATTATTGCTGATAAAGACTCTTGCACTTTTGACATGGTATGTTGTAAATAACTAATTAAAGTACATCAATCCTCTCAGCCGTTCTGAGGCAAAGGGGGACAATTAGGTGTTTGGCTTGAAAGAAGAGCATATAGCATGGCTTTGTTCTGTAGTGATATAGGTCAACAACCCTAATGCTATTCTGGTTCAGTATAATGTTATCTTCTATGTGTTGAAAAGAAATATTGAAAGTAATATGATGCAAATAAAACTGACCGTCCAGATGCTCCTTGAAGTAGACGTATCTGACTCTCTAATAAACAAATATTCTTAAAAAAACAAGAAACAGATTATTTGCTAAAATGAGACTACAACACGATTTATTTAAGTGGAAGTAATTATGAAAGAAGCTGTGTATGCAAACATGCTTCATGCAATGTTATTTTTCCACTCCATGGTGTAAATGTTTACCTGGAAATAAACTTGATTCTGTGAACTAGCAAGTTATAGTATAAATAATGTAACATAGCAAAATAAGTTTTTGATTTATTGATTCAATTCATTGCTTTTTTGTTTTGTTAATATTCACAGCAGACTGCCTTTGTGTTACTCGTGTTATTTAAATGCTCAGGTTGACTGTTACAATGTTACTTTATGACTGATTTATTTTCAGCATGTATAAAGCTTTTGTGGGGAGAGGTTACTACTATTTAATTTGAAATAAATATTTGAATTTCATTGTTAGTCTAGTCATATTTTGTGCTAATAGCATTTAGATTCTAATAGCATCAGAAGCAATAAAACACTACAGTGAAAATACACTTTTAGATTTACCTGAAGATTAAATTATGGCTGCTTATGATTAGGCTCTCTAATGCATATGTAGGCCTCTACATTTAAAAATGCTGAGCATGCACTGACTCTTAACAAAAATCAAAAGAAAATTTTAAGAGCTCAACGTTTTTTTTAATTCATGCCTGCTTGTTTAGTGTCGACAGATAATAAAGAACCTAGCTTCTGAGACAAATAAATTCATTTTCCCTATGTGAAAATGAAAAGCAGCCCTTCAGAGGAAAGTTATTTTACTCCTTCTGGACAGACAATACCAAAAAGAGAAGTCCAAATAAACTTTTAAGTGCTCCAGGTTTTTTGAAAAAATAAAATTTATAGTGTTCCTGCCCTAGAAAGCTTTGAGAGGAATTCTGCAGTAAACAGAATCAGTCTTTAGTCCTCAGGACATTAGGGGGCACCACGACCTCACAGACTTAAAATGATGTAAGCCTAAATACAGTTCCTTTTCCTGTTGAAAATAAACAGGAAACAGCAAGAAAATAGCAAAGCCAACTTCTGGAGTGCTCCTTCCTTGTGCAAGACTGTGATATGGTTCTTAATAGAAATTCCAACAAAAAGAACCCAGACTTTAGTAGAATATAGACTACAGCCTGCTTTCTGTAAGAGTACTAAAGCTAACGGACTAATGGATGCGATATAAGCAGATAACTTTCAAGTCTTTATTTAAATCTTAATTTTTTCTTCAGGGTTTCATTCTGGGAAAGCGACATTTTCAGTTCAAGCCTCTAAGGTATCACAGTGTTAATTCAACCTATAGAGTAAAACTCTTTACAGGCAGGGATGACACAGTGAGCTGGGGATGGGGCCACCTTAAATACGGGTCCCTGAATTAGGCGCAAGGTGTTAGAGTGGTTGCCATAAGCTATCAGACAGCAACACCAAATCTGTGCATACTGTAATGATCATGTGTAAAACTCACACCGGTACAGGAGACATTAACCGTTGTAGCTGTAACATGCAGATGTAGCAGGTGATTTACTTAGCTGATCTATCTAGCGAGGAATTGGAAAGATGTGTCTGTGCGCACATGCATTTGCAAAGCGGAGAAAGTGCCTGTCCACAGGGCTGCTATTCTTGCAGAAAGACAACAGGTGTGACTTCAAGCACAGACTCGTAGGCATGAAAAACAAGATGCCTAGCTGTTGTTCCTCTGCAGTTGAAATGGCAGTGTGTTTGATGTGACAGAGAGAGCCAGCTGAACAACACGAGCAAGATGCTTGTCGTTCACTGGCGGACTAATGCTTGTCTCCTCAGTTCCTAGGGCTTCACCTAGACGCCTGTGGCCTGACTTGCATGAGCTGTGAAGGATAATTTGCAGTGCAGATCTACACTGCGGAGAACATCCAGATGTGACATTCAACAATATAGCATCTACTGCGCTACTGCGTGAAATGAAATCATAGCGCTAATAGTGTGGTTATGGTATGAATAAAGTAATCAACAACTAAAAATTCATGATCTAATCCAATTTATAAAAGTGGAAACCATGACTCAGTCTTTGGAGTTGGGCTGCTGAGTGACTTGACTCCACCAAGTAAAACAGTATTCTGTTGCTAAACTTATGCAAGTGCAAGTGCAAGTGGCTTGCACTGTCTGAACAGGGAAACCTTGGTAAAAATCTTGTCCTGAACGGAGGCTCTGGTTAAGAGTAGCAGCGTAACTGAGCCCCTGCTCAGCGTGAGAGGCAGACTCTAGAGCAGTCGATAGCTGCTAGTGGGTTATTGCTCCCCTACCACCTGAAATATTCAAGAGAGGGTCAGTGTTTCAACCTACAAACCTTCTGCTTACGTGAAGATCAAGTTCTGGGTTGCTATACTGGCAGTGAAAAAAATTTGCAATGTGATCTGCCAAACAAAGTAAAGAACATTGCCCGAAGGTACTCTAACTTTCCTCCTCCATCGTAAGTTTGCACTTACCTATGGATGTATGTGATATAAAGCCTGTGAAGAATAATACATGTATGAGCTATAATATTAGTATATACGGACCTCTTTACATACCTGTATTAGACAAATTATGCAACATACAGATGTAAACGAAGACCACAGTGTCTCTCTTGAAATGTTTACACTCTTGAAAATACCCCAAGAAACTGGCCAAAGGCAAAGGAAAGAAATAATGTCACCAGCCTAGTCGCCATACAGGCTCTTTTATCAAATCTGATTATATATTTATACTGTCTACAAATTATGGCAAAATGTACATATGCAAATATATACAGAAAATTAGATGTTCAAATGTTGCCCTTGTGAGGTTAGTTTTGCTTTCTGTCAGGATGCACTGTGCAACGTGCTTGACAAGATCCCATGCTACTCTTTGCAGGAAAAGCCTCATTCGAAACCAACTCTAGGACTAGAGGAATATCCTAGTTGCTACAGTAAAGGAGAAAACAGGGAGGTTACTTCACACCTCCCCAGTGCTTCTTACAATACCAGATCAATACTTCTCGGCATAATTTCACATGGACCCTCATTTCTGCAACATCACTGATCGTGGGAACCTTAACAATAAGTTGGTGAATGTCGTTCTAGACAATGACATTGTATAGGTTGTAAATTCCTCTCTTCTAGATATTCCTTAGAGAAAGGAATGTTTTTTATTTTAATATATATTTGGAGTTCCCTAGAAACGCTCTTTTTCACGTTCTTGCCACCGTTGAGGGTTCATAGCACAGTAACAATGTATGGTGGTTACGAAAGGGCTTTGCCTCAGAGTAGGTGCTACCAGCAGTTTGTTGTTGCTCGTATAGCTGCAGCTAAAGTCCGTGCTACTTCTTTCCACTGCTGATTATACCTGCTGTAGCTAGATTAAAACAGATAAACCTACCTTCCTTGTGCTAAAACCTTCATTTGGTATGGGTAAGAAATTGCCTGGATGGATCTTTTTGTAGTTACTCAAAGAGATTAAGGTCTATGAGAAAGAGGTATGAGGACTATTCTGTACTTGTTTGAAAAAAATGTTCTGAATGCCTGAGGTTTGTACTGCTTTCCAGTGTTTTAAGTTTCTGGGTTTGGCCAACAGCCTTTATCCACTGAAAAGGTCCAGGCTGGAAAATCTTAACTCTTCTTCAGTAAAGTCGTTTTGTGAATTCTGTTATCTACCTCTGCTCTACAGAAACAGCTTTTCAAAAATCCCTTTTGTGAAAAACTTCCACATATCCTTCCATCCACTGGGAGTTAGATCTGCTAAAATGAACCTTTTTTGGTTTTGTTTTTAACTATAATTGGATGTTTTGTCACAGACCCGCTATGGGATACATTCTAAGCTTTGTAAATTTAGTGAAAGAAAGATTTTTATCAGATTCAATGGACTGTGTGAATCAGGCCCTACCTATATATATTCACTGATGTGGACAATTAGAAAAGCATGCCAGCAAAGGTTTTGTACACATCAGCAGAGTCGTGAATAGAAATAAAACATTTATTAAATGTAAATTAGTGAACAATAAAAGGGTGATAGAAAGAGTCTCAAGTGAGCATAAGCAATACGAACACAATCCTGGTTATACATAAGGGTGTGCTGGTTTAAAATAGGAAATCTGTTTCATTTTGACTTTTTAGATGTTAGATACAAAGTTGATTACCACAAAGGGAGCAGGTAGAATAAAGAAGAGGCATTTTGTCCTGGAACACAACCCACTTAATTTTACTTCCATTCCTCTTCACACTGCAGTTTATACCAGCTTCCAAAATGGTACATCTGCTGCTAGGTAATCTTTCTTACCCACTTAGTAGCTGAGGTTTCAGCCAAACACAAAAAAGATTTTTTTTTTTTCCATCTAACTGCATAAAATTAAAAAATCTAGGGCATTGTTTAATGAAAGTTTCCAGTGCAACCCTGTTTCTAGTTATGGGCCTCTTTCCTGGGAGGCTTGCAGCCCCAGTTACCACCATAGGAAACTTGCTTTCTTAGACAGCAAGTCTACATGTTTTCGGTGGCAGTAGCTGCAAGCCATCCCCAAGTGCTTTCTTATCTTGGCTATGAGCATCAGGCTCACTCACCTTCTCATTTCTCTGTTGATTCCTCCCTTGTGCTGAGCTCTTGGGCAGTGAAAAAGGCCAGGGAGTTGATTCAGCAGAAAAGCGAACGACCCCCGTCCTTTGCTGGGCTCAGCTGGGGCGAGCTCCCCAGCCTGGCTGCATACACAGCCGCATGAACAGTACAGACAGGGCTGGTGCAGGAAAGGGACTGCTTGGTGCCTTAAATGTATCTGGCACCAAATGTCAAATCATGGCCTTATTTTTTTTGAGATTCGTGATCAACCAAAGGTGTTAAGGAAATTTGGGTCAGCTTGAAGTGTGAAGCGTAACTAGTAAAAATACACGTTATTCCAGTATAAGAAAGAATAACTATGGTGGGAATTTTATGGCAGTATCTTTTAGGCTTTCCAATGTGGAGAAGACCAATACAAAGTTAGACTCAGGACAGCCTTAGGATAGATCACAGACAGCACACTATGGTTACATTCACTATGGTTCCTCATCTAACTAGCACCTGTTACCGACACCCACTGTCACCATGAAGAAGTTGTTGGTTTTTTTTATCTGTGGGTGGCACAACTACAGATACAGATGGGAAATTTGGAATTGCTTTCTCAGGGGTGTAGGGTATAAAGGATGGTCCCATTATATTCATCATCTGCTTAACATCAAATATTTTCTTCTACATGAACCATGGCATCCAAAAGCATTATAAATAAATGTGTGTCCAGTTTTGACAGTCTCTATTAATCACCTCAGAGGTAAAGTAACTTGCGGCACTGAGGGAATCCAGCTGCAGTGAGTATTTGCCATCCCCTCACACACACTGACAGATCTGTGAAGAGACAGGCTAGCTAAGACCTAACTGACCTGTTTATCCTTTCTTACTGGAAGCAACCTGGAACCACGCTTTCAGATCTTCCCAAGGGCATGCCCCTTCTGCAGCAACTCCCAAACTTACTGTTCTTCTCCAGTGGGAATTCACTCTGAAGAATCAACTGGTATTGAATAGGTTTCCAAACGTAACAAGTATTTCAAAGTACTAGCACCCTGGCTATGCCAACGTGATGTATGCATATAACACCTTTGTTGATTTACTTTCCTAAGAGGTAGTTTAAAACTGCAGCACTACTTAGAAAAACGATTGAGTATCTAGAAGCACTGTTGAGAATGGAAAAAAGGCTCAGTTGTGGCACTCCGCAAGAGAACTAATAAGAAATGAAAAGGGATCAGAAGGAAAAATCCTTAACACACAGAAAGCTGTGACAGAGAAGCTTTTTGTTATGACTTCCCCATGGTTGCATCAGCCAGCTGCCTTTTTCCAGAAGTAATGTTAAAGATACACTATCTAGCTGGCAGCAGTGACAAGTCATTCCACTGAAGGTACATAGTGTAATAAGAAGTTGATTTCCTATGTCCAACCTAGAAACTTTTGTTTCCAAATCACTACCACCGGAATATACGAATCATATAATTTCACTTAATACGTTTGTAGAGAAACCGATGCAGTTTTGACCCAGTTTTTTGTTTTGTCTGTTAGCTAAATATAACATAACCATTTCTGGGGCAAAGTATTCATCCCTATCTCAAAACATAGCTCAAATAACCAAGGCCAAACACTATGTGCATTTGATTTCACAACCATAAGTGCTGATGAATGAATATTGCAACCAAGAATTTCTACAGTGCTGCGTAAATTCCAGTAGTCATCAACAAGTTACACAATTTCACTTCTGGTTTATATTAACACATAAAGGAAATATGTTCCATGACTCTCACTTTACATAACGTCCAAATCAGTTACTTCGCTTATTTAAGGCTCAGGTAAACTGTCAGAAACAGACCCTGCTTTAGGCTGCATTGAAATTTTTGTAATTGTTGTTGACAGGTATTTTAATAAAAAGATTGCACACACTAACTAAGAACTGCCTAGTTGGTGTAATTAAAACTTGAACTTTAACAACTTTTAAGCTTGACTTTCAACAGCTATTCAACTCAGTCCAGCTCAACATTAATTTTTGTTTTTAGGACGGACATTATAAAGCCTATGTAGAATTAGCCTTTTGTTTATGACTTGAATTTGTCATGCACCACTGACAATAAGGGAAGGAATAACCTTGTTATAAAGCAAATTATTTCCCTTTCTGAAATATGTAAGTTTGAATCTTGTTGAACAAATGGCAAGATCTGGTGTGGTACATCCTATGCTCCTAATATTCAGGCCAATCCTTTTTTTTTTTTTTTTTTAACCACTGTTCATTTCAAAGATTTTTTGTAATTAATAAATAAAACATATCCCATTAAAGCTCTAAATTCCACATAAATATAAGCAGTCATTGAATACATGCCAAAAGTAAGGCAGGGAGAGCAGAATTCTATTTAACAACACTCTAGTATTTACTTTGTCTTTCTATGATTAAAAGGAAAAACAACATAGTTTGCTTTCTGGACTTGCATATATTTCATAAATATTGCATCACCTTGCCATGTCATATGACATTTGGTATTCCATAATGCAGTTCTCAGGAGCAAGTGTAAGCAGCAGCTGATTGATTTTCCTGTCTCTTACAACATACAGCACAGCACACAGTTATACTAGCATTATTTTTACAAGTAGTTTGTTCAGTTTTATTTGCACTTCTCTTTGCAAATTATTAAAATAGATCAGAACCAATTAAGAAGACCCAGCTCTGGTGACGTCAAAGGAGAATTAGGTCAAGGAAGCAGCAGAAGCTAGCCTGTGCCAAGACTTGGAGAGGAGTATTTGGAATTTGAGACAGAAAATGAAAGAAAGGCAGCAAGGCTAGCTGAAAGAGGACATAAAGCAAATAAGGAAGCTTATCCCCCTTGGTAGTATGATAGCACAACCGAAGGAGTAAGACATGCAACTGAAGACAAAAGATAAGTGTGATGAAATAATAATGCTGAGAAAAAGTAAGGTACAGAAGAAGGACATGAGGTACAAGTGACAGCTTAGAAAAATACTAAAGGCAGGGCAGACTGTGATATATTTTAAACCACTATCAGCAGACCCGAGAAAGCTGATGACCTTGGAGCAGGAGAGCAGATGAAAAGCCTGTAGCATCAAATCTCTTTCTTTAAAGAAAGAGAATAACAAATCCAAACTAGATCTGCATCAACTGTAACTTGCATGCAGGAAGCTTTGGAAAATGGAAAATCCCAATGTTGCTCAGGAGGGAAAAACTCCCCTCTCTTTCCAGCTCAGGAAACGTCACTGGAAAGTCCCAGCCTGAAAAAAAAAAATCCACCCAGTAAACAAATTGCCTATGCATTGAAAAGAGAAAGAGGAACAAAGTCAAGAGATACTTTGAGGTTAAAGGAGCTCATTTTCAGGTTAGAATTTCTTTGAATGACGACAGTTCAAGTTCAAACAAGAAAAATCTCACTAGGATGAAGAAACTAGCAAACTTCATTGCTGTTATTAGGCTACAGAAAGTAAGCTCTTCAACTTGGGATTTTTTGGGTTTTCTGCTGAGTGTACTCAAACAATCCCAGTGACAACACAGATACCCAGGATTATTAGATCACTGTAAAATTAGAAATAACTGTCTGGCAAGTTTGTGGGTTGTTGGGGTTTTTTTCCCCCCTTGATTGACCTGTATTTTTAGACAAGGAAGCTCTGCTCCACAATATGCTTCCTGACAACCTCACTGGGCATGGTTGTTTTACAAGTAAGTTCAATGCTGGGAACTTTTCCAGCATTGTCTGTCAAGAAAACAAGGAAAAACCATGGCTAGTCACTTTGAGACAAGAAATATAGCGTTGGGCAACATTCTACGAGTCTTCTCTAACTAGTACTGATGAAAACAGAAGTATTTTAACAGAAAAATCATTTACCTTTCTCTGAAATAAATCAAAATTCAACAAAGCAGCAGTACAACCATACTAACACAAAACAGATGACGGTTTGGGAAGTGTCACTTGGACTGCCCTATTTATAGCCCGATAAATATTAAAATAATTATTCAATATTTTATTATCTTCAAGCTCAGGTTCTCTCAATTATTATCAGGATTTAAAGCTACTGCAGATAGCCATCTCAAGTATGCTATCCTAACAGACAGTGACTTAATATTTGTGAAACTACAGTCCTATTCACATCCTCACAAATTTGGGACAAAGGTTGCTTGGCAGTCTTTTTTGGGGGTGGGGGGGTTATGTTTCAGATTTGTTTTAATACATTGCTCTTAATGCATATAAATAGCAGGAGGGAAACAAAATCGCAGGGAAGTTAGCAAATACCATTCTTTACCATTCTTCCTATTACCAGGTAAGGGCATAATTCTACTGCTATTGTCATAAAGGAGGGTAGGAGGATATTAACTTCTGCAGTGGAAGGTCAGGGCCCAAGTCCATTGATTCCATCTCTCATTCTCAAGCTTTGAACAGTAGGGATTAACGATCACAAAAGTTTTCCCTCGCCACCAAGCTGGAGCAGCAAATTAGAAAACATATCCAGTTTCGCTTCCTGTATCTGATGCAAGAATTGTATTAAGCTCTCTAGGAGAAACGTCATGATTCTCTCTCTAAGTACACTCTTACATACACTGCAGGAAAGAGAACCCAGGATGCGCGTCTCGGAAGAGGTGCAGCAAGGGTGAAGCCAATATTCACAAAAAATGTACAAGCTGTATGCCTCATGATTTTCAGAGGAGTGTCTTTGCCCTTCTCAAAGCAAGTTTCTAACAACAAATGAAAGTAGACTGCGCCTGCAACATGAACATGACCTGCTGATCTTCTAAGGGCTTTGTTTCAGGTACACTTGCCACTGTTGATCAGTGCAAGGTAGCGTGGAATCAGACAGTAAGAACGCCTTATGCTGGATAATGCCTACTGCAAGAGGCCTCTCCCTTAAACTGTTTTCACACCTTGAGTTAACATAGTCTGCTACAATAGCTGATGTACTACTGTACTGGAAAGCGGCAGATAATTCTGAAGCTTTAAAATTCAGGGTTTTGTATACTGGCACTGCAGACATGCTATATGAAACCATTTCAAAGTAGGAGCCTCTTCAACGCCAAGCGGAATGCTCTTGGATTCAGCTAATTTTGAGAAAGAGAATGCTGCTCCATACCACACTTCATTTCTCAAGCTCCCACAGCTGATTCAGGAACTTTGCTCATTGGAGTAAGTAAAACCATAAATCTGGAAATTCCAGCCAAAAGAGTTATTTTAGTATCTGCCTGGTGCAAGACACATAAATCAGTTGAGAATAAACTAACTATTTTTTTTAAAAAGGTTGATGTATTTGCCTATTGAACACCCACTGTAATTAGGTAACACTGAAAAAGGCATAAGATGAAACGTTAGTGATATTCATTCATGCTTCAGGTAACTTTTTTTTTAAACATGTTATAAGGTTTTATTTCATAAAATAGCATGGATATGGAATCAGCTAAGCATCGCGGAATACAAAATTTCACACAGGGGGAAGGGAGAAAAAAAACCTTGAATCAAGCAGAACCAACCACACCTTCATCAAAAGAAGGACTACTTTAGTCAGATCAGATACCTGACCCCAATAAAAATAATTAACAAACCAACCTAATTCCTAATGGAGTCAGTGATTATAAGAGGAAAGTCATTTCTGGAACGCAGCTAATTCTGAATCTGGCTTTGCACAGAGTTCTATGTTTCATTTTCTTTTGTTATTTTTCCTCTCTGACCTTGTCAGTCTTGTTACGACGAAAGTTGATTTGTCAGCTGACGAGAAAAGAAAAATAAGATCAATTGTAAAGCTGAGCGATTAAGCAAGAAAAAGATATGCAAACGCATTCTAAGTTCCTGCATATGTAAACATGGTTTTACTCCACTCTTTGACAGATTAAGCAAAAAAGGCTAAAAGAACCTGAAAGCTTTGAGGCTGAACATCTGAAAGTTGGAAAGTGCTAAGAATTAACACAGAATATGCAAAGGAAGCCTGGACTAGGATCAAAAGGCAATACAGTAATTTCTAGCTGCAACAGGGACACGTTACTCGAGCAGTAGCTCTCGAGTAGTTCAAATGTAACTCCAAGGGCAGGCCTGGCATGAGGGCTGCACCGATACAGACACAGCAAGTGTCACCATTCCTACAGCAAAGGAAGCAGATATCGGGCAGGGAGGCTGTATGGAAACCATAGTAGTTGCGTGTTAACATATCGCAATTGGTTGAGGTGGCGACAGAACAGGTTCTGATCACTTCAAACATGCCTGCCCCAGGGACAGTAAACATGTGGCAGATGTACGAAGCGGACGCCTGGCAAGAAGAACCACTGCACCCAGCTCAACTAAGTCTGCCTTCAAACAAGATGGAGCCTTCAGACTGACAACGTTAAAAAAGGAGAACAACCCACAGAGTGCAATTACCACTTCCTTCATGCTTGTAAATCACTAGTCATCTCTTTTTCATCACATGAATGCCATCACTGCCAGAAACGACTGCCTGAGGATCTAGACTGAAACTGTTACAGCAATCACATTAATGGGCCTCTGCAGATGCAGGAGTAGAGTTTATTTTACCAAATAAGAAGTCATAATTAAGAAGTGAAATACTTCCAAAATAGCTGATCATTAACTATTTAAAACATAAAAGCAATAGTTTTATTCTATAGGCTTGACAGTTTAGCACGGAATAAGCCTTACATGCAGCTTAACTGCAAATGAAATACTCTTGAAAACCATTTGTGTACAAAAACACGTATGCTTTAGGGCTTAACTGTAGGGTGTATGAATAAATAAAGCGGAGTTGTACTTATTTGGCTTTACAAATTAGCTTCCAGGTCTTTTATGTACATTTCAATAATACTTCATGCTAAGCAAGATTAAACTTGAATTTTAACTCCTGGCATATACAAGAGAAAAATGTAGTTGGTGAAACTACTGCATCTCCACGACAGACAACACTATTTCAAACTTTCCCAAGAGTGATACCCCCAAAACTATTAAGATTGCAGCTGTCGCTACGGTATTATGAAACCTTTTAGGCTCAGGGGAAGTAATGATTTCTAAGCCCATGTGCAAGGGCAGTTAAGTTCTCCTTTTTATCTCTACTAACCTCTACTCTTTAATGTTCCAGTCTCTTTCTGAAGCCACAACTATCCCTTAGAAGACATCATACACCACGGGAGCTGCTGACCACAAGGAGAGGGGAGCACAGCACAGCTCATTTCCAGCCCACCCCCACTGCTAAGGCTGGCCGTATGTGAAAGACATCCCTCTTGCTGAGGCAAAAGGTGGAGGCATGGCCATGCTGAGAGGCCCAAAATAGGCCAGAGTGACATTACGCAAATCAGGGTAGTATAAAAACTAATTATTTTCTTACAGTACAGCAGCATAGCGTATAACGATGTCCACCTCTCACTCACTGATATTGTGTAGTGAGACTGTAATGAGGGAGCAGCTACCCCCATCATAAACTTACCTACTCTTTAACCAAAAGTTACAGGACTTAAGTAGTATTTCTGGATACCTTTGCCCCAGGGTTTTTAGGAGCTGTAAGCCACCCAAAGCACCATTACGCACACATAACATCTCAGTGATCATTTCTCTGATGAAATCTTGTTGCAAGGATCCATACATTTGTTACCTAACTGGATTGCTAGGTAGCATCTTACAAAAGGTTAGTTGCACAGGAACCCTAGCTAGCAGAGAATTCAGCTACTCTCATGACTCAGAAGAAATACTTACTGATACAGCAAAATAACTTCTGCATACAGTGATGCATATACAAAAGCTTCAGGTTAGACAAGGAAATTCTCACAAAATACCCATTCCATGACAGTCACACATCTTTGTAATGCCATGTATTCATATTCCTCAATTAAATAGGTATTTTCCAAATTGAAAAAAAAAAAAAACAACACAGAAACATCTCACAGTGATGCCAGTTAAACTCCTACACTGCAAAAACTGTAGACACTTACACAGGTAAAACATATTTTATCTGGAATCTGTTTTTAGAACTTTGCTTTTAGATTTGTTTTTATCTGAATCTCAACTATAGTCCATTGATTTTATAGTCTTCTCAGAAAACAGGTGTCTTTGTTATACATAATACATTTTCTCTTATCTATCCTCTCTTATACCAGTGACTTGTAAGAGACAGCAGAATTACATCCTGCACATTTGTTTGCTGAAATAAGGACTATTCTAGACAGGCACAAAGGCAACTAGAAATAAACACGAAGCCTCAAAACATCACGCAAGTATTCAAAACAACTTATGTTTTGGTAGAAAAAAATATTAATAGCTGCTTTTAGTTAAGGGCTTCTGTTGGTTACTTCTTCCTAGCCCTCAATAAACAGAAGGTGTAAGGCATGTGGATTCAGAACTCTTTAATGGTACTCAAGCTAAAAAGCACCGTGTAAAATTTACCAAGTGATTTAAACTGGGACCTTTTTCCTTCATAGTTTGCAAAAATTTCACTTTCTCCAGATAAAAACAGTAAGCCGGCCACAAATGTAGGCTAGTGAACGTACAGGGGAACGAACAAACAGGAAAGACACACACGTGGAAACCTCAAGACACTGGGTGTGAAAAAAGTGACAGGGCCTATTTCAGAGGGAGTGCAGCAGGAGTGCAAGGCCTGAAGGCTGCAATGTTAAAAACACAGCATCGCTTTGCAAAGTGACACTTCTGGGAAAACACGGGCGTCGATCACGCACACTGGGACAGAACTGCCGTATTTCAGGTGAAGGCAACCCGAGAGTGACCACCCTCAGGAAAAGCAGCAGCTGCTTCTCTCGCTAAAAAAGAAACAAACAAGAAGTGAGGAAAAGCTTGAACGGCTCATAGGGCTGCAAGAGGCTCTTTAATAGTCGCATGCACTCGGGGCGCGCCGGCAGCCCCACAGCGGGGATTCCTGGCCCCGCATTTCAGAGCTGCGCGTTCTCCAACCC